CATTTCCTGACAGATGATCTTGCGCTTAATAGGTATAATTATTATCTTCTGAACTGTAAAAAGCCAAATGTCAAAAGTGTCTGTTAGTACAATATGTACTTTTCTGATTGCCGTTTTTACTGTCTTTCATACTTTACCTTTTTGGAAATGGGGACAGGTCCACACAATTGGAAATGTTTTTTGAAAATGTTAATTTAGGTAAATTAGAAAAAAAAACTAGATTGGCGACAAAATCATAAATATCTTTGTAAGTATACCTTTGTAAGAAATTATCAGTAGTGAATAGCACTTTTATTTAGGTTACTGCTAACTTCCTCTAGGGTATTATTACATATGATTGTAATATAATGATACATGGTGTATATATGTTTTAGTATATGCAAACAACTTTTTTTACGTATATGCAATATTATTCACTGCTGTAGGTTCGAGTTGCACCAACTTCTTCTGATTCTTCGTATGAGAAAGCTTAGATCCGACTGGGTTACGGAACGTCAGTAGTACTACTCAGGTGCCCATTTATGTCTGAATAATGTACAGAGGGGCACTTGAGGTCATCCTCCACCAGTAAAGCTGGAAGGTCGCCATATGACTAATACTGTGTCGGCAATTTTTTGTGCCAAATAATATACAGTGTACAATATATATTTGTATCATGTGATTCCAAAAGGGCTTAATTCTTGATGCACTGTTTTCATGATTCTGGTACATCATTTAATACAAGTATTGGATATGAAGACCAATAATGGATCAGTCTGTTTATATTTCTTCATAATTATTATAAATTATACGGCAGAAAAATTGATTTATTTGCTCCTTACCACCCTGCGAGAGCTGTTATACCTAATTTACTACATCAATTGCTAATTTTCTTTTATTGCCAATAATTTCTGATGACCGCATTGATTTTTCCTTGCGGGTGACAAAGAAATTAATATTTATCGAGGGTATGATTTGCCTTGTGATTGGCTAATTGGTGTGGTTGCTTTCCATACGGGTATTTTATATTTGTTTAACTTTAGTTGTCCAGACCTGTCCATAATCTGCATGTACTGTAATTAGAATTAGTTGGACATGTAAATTTGCTTTTGTAAATAATGTGTAAAATTTAGTTATTTAAGGACTGGTAATTCCTGTAACACTTAATACTTTATAGGTCATTAATTTAATCATTTATAAAGCCAGCATCTGCCCATGCAGCTAGTGCAGACAAAGATCAGTTTGCACATCTGTGCTGCGTGGATGATGGTCCGCACTGTAGAATGTTTGGTCAATATTAAATTTGTATTTTGAAATTGAAATGATGAAAGGTTTTGTCTAGATTCAGTTGGAAAGTTAGACAAGTTGTCAGTCCATATAAGATATTTAGTTGGAATAGGTTTTGGTCATTGAGGCTAATGTTTTCCAATTTTATTTTGAGAATATTTTTGTAGTCTTTTGGTAGGTTTTATTTGATAATTACTACAAATATAAATTCTGATGACAGTTTACTTAAAATGCATTATTATATGTCATAAAGTACTCAAAATTACATTGTAATAAAAGCATTGATGTGTGAAAATATTTAAATCATAAATACATTTTCTATGCCCCTGCTGTTTAGGGGGATAATGGGGTTGGAGGGGTGAGATAATAGATTTGCCCTTGTCTGTCTGTCCTGCTGTAAGACATGTGTATCCATAAACATACAAATTAAAGTGGCAGCATCTGTGTCCTGTGGGCACATTTCTTATCTTGTTTGATCATTTGGAAGGGGAAAGTTTAGTTTTGCCACATATTGGAACAAAAACATAGTACATGTATTACAAAATTACCATTTAGACAGACTCAGATGGGGTCCAATTAAAAATCGTTTGGAAAAAATCCAAACAAAGTATCGCAGTCTGCACTTGCCTCTCAAGAGACCTGTATGTTTCTTATTGGCAAATACCTTCATCAAAATGCTGGAATCAATAAATCCAATGCTTTTCTTACACGAGAAAAAATTGGAAAAATCGCATTCGCTACTCGATTGTAAATGTTCAATGGGATGAAATTATTTTCTGTTTACTAAGTATTGATTGAGTAATCTGATACGAACCATTACAGACCGATTGATCGTTATCAGAAGCATTGTTATTATTATCTCCCCTGATAATTTATCGCTATTGATCTTCAGCAGTTGAAGAGTCTGAAATAATCTTCTTTGGTCGTTTATCAGGATTGTAATGTAGAAAATGACCAAGAAAGATTCCCATTACGTCTTATTTGGTCATTTAGTTGGATAGTCGTGTAGAAAATGACTAAAATAATTCCCCGCCTCTATTATTACTATAATTATATATGGTACCGTTAGTAATATCAGGTAGAATGTCATTAAGCAACAGAAAGTTTTGACACAAATTTAAGTGTTAAAAGGTACAAAATAATAATATCATTTTCATTAAAACTTCTTGTCTGTAACTTCTTAGCTTGTTGCTTTATTGAATTGTCGCATTAAATAGTACATGCAATATTCAGTCAAACCAAATCAGCAGTTTTTTCTTAAGTTCAGTTGTTTTATTTTCATGACCAACCTTTGAGGGATAGGTGTGTTATACACTGGTATGCCGGTTCAGAAAACTTTTCCAAGAGTTTTGCAAATATCTCGACTTCTTAAGTTGCACCAACAGGCTGTAAAGAATAAGATGAAATGATGGCTGTTTGGTTATTATTTGTGGGTAAAATCTTTTCATTCTCTGTACCCTTGTGTGGAAACAATGCACTTTGCAATCTTCTGTCAGGGCTTTTTTCCCTTCAATAGCAGGGGCTGACAAACTTTAACTTGGCGACTTCCCCAAAGAAAGAATAAAAATTCTTTAAGTCATGCAGTTTTCCCAAAAAATTGAATTTACATAAAGTGTTTTCTTCCCCATTGGCAAATATACTGTATAATTTTCTCCCAAAAAAAATTAAGGGCAGGGCTGTTTCTCAAACCTTTGAAAAAAAACCTGTCAGTATCATAATTTATGCTAGACATATAAAATTCTCTCATTAAAGAATGTATTTTTTTGTCAGGAGTGAAAAAATATAATGTTTTTCGAAGTTTTAAATATAAAATTATGGTGTTAGTTAATACAATGAACAGCCTTAATGCCACCAGATGGATAATGTTGCTTGTTTGAATACTTTAAACAACAATGGACCATTCTAATTCAAAAGGCAAGTCCATTACACAAATTGAGTATAAAGAAGGTTAAAAAGAAAACAACAATGAACACTACGTTAACATGAAGATATCAATCTGTAGACTGGTTTGTTTAATTGTCTACCATTTTGGAGACTGTAACAAGAAAAATCAACACAAGAATCAATATGCAAGCCTGAACTGCAGAGACAGTAATCTTAATTACTCATGCATTCATGAAAATACATGCCAGCTATAATTCATACAAATTATTCATTTCATGACAAAAATACAAGCCTGCTATTTCATACCAGCTAGTCTTTAAATAAATTATACAAAATACAAATCTGCCATTTCATACAAGCTACCCTTTAAGCTAGCCTTAAATGAATGATACAAAATACAAATCTGCCATTTCATACAAGCTACCCTTTAAGCTAGCCTTAAATGAATGATACAAAATACAAATCTGCCATTTCATACAAGCTACCCTTTAAGCTAGCCTTAAATGAATGATACAAAATACAAATCTGCTATTTCATACAAGCTACTCTTTAAATGAATGATACAAAATACATATCTTCTGTTTCATACAAATTACTCTCTTTTTGACTTCTACAAAATAAAAGCCTGCTATTTCATACAAGCTATTTAATATTAAAGTCTTTTAATGAATTATACAAAATACAAATCTTCTATTTCATACAAGTTACTCCTGCTAATTTATACAAGTTGCATGACATACTCATTTAATGAATTATACAAAATTCAAGCAAGATATATTCCTAATGACTGATAAAAAAATACATGCAATGTACCTAGTGCAAGTTACTCATTTAATGGCTTTTACAAAATACAAGCAAGGTATTTCATACAAGTTACTCAGATATCATTTAAAAAATATATACAAGCAGGCTATTTTTCATAAAAAACAGCAAATAAGTAAATGTTGATCTGGCATTTTTCCTTGTTCTTGAACACAACTGCTTTTAAATCTATGTACCATAGAAGCTTTAGTTTTCAATCATGCATTTTGTTTATTAAAGCCAATGAGTACAATGTCATGTGTATCCTAAATGGTTTGTTACTTAATTTATAAAAATATAGCTTTAGTATAATGCCATTGTAATGGAGGATTTTTTTTAGTTAGTTCTAAATATACTTCATTGAAATCTTCTGAGTCATCGCAGAATTCAATAGACCGTTAGCTAGACATTATTGAACAGTTGTTTGCCTTGCAAGAATTATGCTGAGCATGGAGGTATATTGATTGGTCGGGATCCAATATTCATTGGTTCTTCGCTACCATTCCAATACATTATCAGTGACTCGTCAATTTGTCATGCGGGGTTAAAACCCCAAATTTAAAAAATTATTTCCGAAATTTTTTATTTTTTCAAATTCCCTTTTTTTTGGGATTTTAACATTTTTTTTTTCTGGTTTAGAAAAGGAGAAAACCAATAGTTAAAAAAGGGTTTTGATCGTATGGTTGTGTTTTTCTTTTTTCTTCTTAGAAACGTTTTGCAACCCGGGGTTTAAAGATTTTTTTATTTATTAAAAAGTTTAAATTTTCTTAAAAAGATAAGAAGTGTTTTTGAGGGAAATTTTTCTTGGTAAAAGGGAAAATTTCCCCCAAAATGTTTAACAAAAAATTTATATTTTTTTATTTTTAAAAATATTCTTTTTTTTAAAAGCCCCTAAATACATATATTGAAGAAAGGGTTTTCTGAACTTATACTTTTAGTTTTATCTTTCGTCCATTTTCTTGAAATTTGGTTTGTTGAAGAAATGACGTAAGCTCCTGTTTAACATAGCGGGTCAATATTCATAAGTTATTCATAGAGAAGCTAAAAGGCAAAGTAAAACTGTTGATTAAAGAAGAAAAACGGTCGCGTTTTTTACGGAAAAATTCAAGCAATTTGCTCATTGAAATTACCTTCTAATAACAAAATTGGATTTTATATATTGTAAATTTGTCATATAATTTCAGGAAGTGATTTTATACCCAATATTATGGAGGTTACAAACTGGATATGTTAAGGATAAAATATGGCAGTTTCAGAAGTGACTAACCAGCCGGTATCATAGTCGAAATTATTCATTCATTGAAATCGTGGACATTAATTTATAGGAAAGTTGTTATTTTGTGTGGGAACTAAACAGATTTAAGGTAGGTTCATTTTGAATCTGGTTCTTACCAGAAATTATTATATGGAAAAACAAGTTTTTGTAAAAGATGTTAATAAAAGTACAAATAACTATATAAATTATATTTATTTAAATGAGTAGGGTATTTAAATGTTGATTTGATTTTTATATCTGAAGAAGAACTAGAACCAAGTGTGTTGTTTTTCTAGTCTTTTAGTTACAAACATAGTAATACTTAACTGTAATAAAATTTCTTGGATATATATAATATATTTCTGAAAATTGTTTCAAAATTCACAATTTGACTGTTAATTCCTAAATTGTTACTTTTTGCTTTTTTCCCAAAAATTAAGCAAAAAACACATTAAAATATTTTTCAATTTTGCAAACACTAACACATTCCCAGAAAGATGAAAGAAGCAAAACAGAAGCTGAAATATTTGTTTTTGCCTCTGTGAATATCTGTGTTTTGTCTGAGGGGTCCTTTTATTGTAAGGTACTACTGTATTGTTTACATAAACTTGTATTTATAAAATAATGAAGTGAATTTCTTTAATTTTTTTACTCTTTGGTAAAAATATATAACAAATTTTATAAAGTTTTGAGGTATTGAAAACAATTACATGTATAAGGGGTGGGGTGGGTGGGGTTATGTTAGACTAACCCATTATAGGGTAGGGGGCATTATTTTGGAAAAGTTTCTGACACTGATGATATTACAAAAGAGATGATAATCAATGGTCAGTGGTTGTAAAACATTGATTAACCCTGGTATAATTTGCAGACTGGTCAGACTGTGTCTGCCATATGGTATAACTATTACATATATAATGTATGTAAATTCATTCAGATAAAGGGGGGAAGTGGGGGGTAGGGGGAAAGAGTTAAGCATTAGATTCCAGCTTGCATTTTGTTAAAACCAATGACGGTCAATATTTGCACATTGCCATTACCATATTGATCCAATGCCTTAACTACTGCCCTTATTTATTTAGATAGGTTCAAATGGTTTTAGTTGAAGAAAATAGCCAATGAAATTATAATCATTCAACTTTGTTATCTATAAATATCTTTACCATTCTCTGCTTTTTTGCCATGTTTTATTCACCAATCGGAAAGAATGTTACTTTCCAAAACATTTTTTTTTTTTAGCTCAACTATTCAAAGAGTAGGGGAGTTTTTGTATTCATGCAGACGACAGTGTTGTTGTCGGCGTCACACTTTGGTTAAGATTTTGCGTGGAGTTGGTAATTTTTCAAAACTACTAATGTGAATATGTTGAAAAATCACACAATTATTTGAGAGCATTACACGACGTCCCTGTCCAAGGCCCATAACTACTCTGAACATGGATTTTTAAAAAGTTTTTTTCCCCTTTTTTCATTATTTCCCGTCTTTGTTTTACCCATCAACCTGAGTAAAGTTTAGCAAAGCCTTTTTCCCACCAACCAGCCCCTTTTTCTATCAAACAGAAAAATTTATAATTCGCTTATTTTTTATTAGGGCCCCATAATAGATAGGGGGGATTTTTTCCCCTTGGGCCCGAAGTGGTTTTTTCCAGGCCTCAAAAATGCTTTCTCCATACCACTGGGTTCGAAAACCCGATAGGAACTTTGGTTTCTTTTTAAAAATTTTGGAAGCTTTCGGAATGCGGTGGGTTTTACCTTTCCCCGGGGCCTGTTTGTTTTCTGAAAAAATGCACGGATTTTTAAACTATGACCTAATTAAAATTTGTTTAGACGGAAAACCAATCAAAACAAAAAAATCCATTAGATCTGTGTGTAATGGACGCCGCTTTTTGGATACAGAATGGCTCATTGTTTGTTTGAGGGATGTCAATATCAAAATAGATACTCATTGAACCAACAGGGTTTAGAGCTCTCTGGTTGACCTGGTTGCATAACTGTGGCATTATTTGTGGCATATGGAACGTCATGAAGGTTGCAACTTGTAGCTGAACAAGTTCTCATAGGATGATCGTTGAAAAAAGCAGATGAAGTATCTAAACTTTAGTCAGAATTTACTGAGCAATACAAATACTGCATATATATGGATAACCTGTAACTTAATACATGTATGCTTATAACTCATTCATTGAGCATAATTATAAACTTTTGTCAGAGTGCTTCCAGAGCTGCTGATATGTTAATTTATATGGTCTTTTTTGTTAAAAAGGTAAGTTTTCAACTTTCCATTTGATACAGAGCTTGTCAGGCTTTTACAAATCATTATGTTGAGGGTTGACTGCAAAACTGCAGTTACTTATGTGAAATAGAGACAGAATTACAACATTCTTGCAGTCAACCCTTGAATTATTATTGTGTATGTGTTACTAATATATTTTACAGTTTATAGGTTGTTCTAGATGTGCATAAAAAATATAAATCTATGGTGTTTGAATTATAAAAGAGTCTATTGTTTCTGAAGAAAACTACACTATTATTGTTTGTACATTTCAGGAAGCAAGCCATGTCGTCTGTGAAGGTAGCTGTGAGGGTTCGTCCCTTCAACAGCAGGGAGATAGCTCGAGACTCAAAAGTTGTCATTTCCATGTCGGGGAAATCCACAAGTACGTTAACATTTTCTTTAGTTGTTCTTGTATATAATATCATGATAAATGCATGTTTGTTACCTCATAACGATATTTGTCTTCTGTTTCAAAATAATAGTCAAATTTAAATTTTCCCGACTTAAAAATGATAAGGCTGATGGGAAAAACTTAGGATTTAAAATCAGATGTATGGGTTATTTTTAAAATGGTTTTTCTTAAATTCATACAGAAAACAATTTGAAATTCCCCCTGGGCAGTATTTTACATTTGTAAACCTTTGTCCCCCAAAAATTTTGTCTTTTTTATTGTGTTTAAATTTCACGGAGCACTTTTTTTTTCCAAAATTTTAAATGTAATAATTTCTCGACAGGTTTGTGATGAAATTTCAATATCTGGAAATAACTGCCATTAAATACGAGATTTCGATGAAGAGAATATAAATTTTCTTGATATTTCCTCAATCCTGCAAATTTTACGATGACAGCTTGCTTGTATTACGATTATTATTTTCATATTGAAGACTTTGTCTGAGGAGATTTGCCGGAGATGTGTCGTCATTAATCTGATTATGTCATGGTTACATCGCAGCGCGCTACTGCCTTATTACTTCATATTTTATAACTTAAGTCCCTAACGCAATTATCTTTCCGTGTAATCTGTTTAATTTTTTTCCTCCTCTCACAACTTTTCTGAGAGAATTATGGAAGAAAATTTTGTCTCATTGAATCTAAATGATTGACATGCAACTTGGTTGTTTTTGTAATTGTATTGATGTAATGTGTTTAAAAAAAAGTGGCGTTTTTTTACAGAAAAGAAATTTAGGTTCTGTTATTTATCATGTCACTGTTTCGGCATACAGGGCAGGGTGGTTACGGTCACTGATTTTGAATCAATTTCACTTTTCTTTTGTTGTTGCTTCTTCGGTCTCCCAACAAGAACTTTAAAAGAAAAGCATAAGGAAGCTATTCAAGTAGCCCATGGAAGTTGGTGGTTCTACTTTAGTACAGACTGAAATCATACATAAAGTCCACCATCTTAGATTTTCCTCCACCAGTAAATATTTGGATTTCCCATAGGATTTGTCATCTTCAATTTATCATTCCTTCACCTATTTTGGTGCCAAAGCATTTCATATCAGTGAATATCAGTGAATTGGTAATGCAGACACAGTTCCTGAAGGAAAAACTGCACTCATTTCCCTTTGCTATCCTGTGCATTGTCCCTGGGGTCAGGGAAAGGATGGGGAGAGTTTTGTTACAATTAAATGGTGTATTATTATCTGTTTGTGATGATATATTTCATGGAAACTTTGTTTTGTATTATAATATTTACATTGTTTATTATTGTTTAGAGAAATTGTTATATAAAAAAAACAAAAAAACACTGCTGTATATAACCAAATTTCATTTTATTATTGTATTACACTGTTTATTCTTGTTTAGAGAAATAAAGTTATAGTATTAAAGAAAACATTGCTATATATAACATTATAAGATTTGTCCACTTGCTCAGCTCAGTTTGGGGAGAATCAGATTTGTAATCCAGTGGTAGCTGGTTAGATCCTTGGGGGAGGCAAAGCATCTCTGTGACATTTAACCTTTGACATTGGGTCTTGAGGTCATTTGTCTCCGCCACTGATTCAGGAATGATGTAGGATAAATAGTCGGTCACTTGTGTAAAAATTGTTAACTGGTTAGTTAATTATCCAAGAAATCCGCAATGGTGAATCCACTGCTGAGATTTGACCAAAAATTGTGTTAAAATCAGCGCAAACCTGAAAAATATTCAAGCGCAATATAAATATTTTCTGAATTTATTGTTCTTAAGGAAATGTTGATATTTCATTACAGCTATAGAGAACACAAAAGCCACAGGACCAAAGGAATCCAAAGAACAGTACAAAAGTTTCAACTTTGATTACTCATACTGGTCACATACTGACGTAAGTATATATATTGTATGGTGTACTGTAGCAATATAAGCATTACTTCTAGACCCTTGCAGAAATCATGATTACCAAAGTAGAAAATTATCTATTTTTTGCTGATTCTTACATTTTTCATTCATCATCATGAATCAGTGTAAAGTGATGAATTAGACGTCTTAAAGTGTGTTTCAGATAATTGAAAAGGCAAGATTTTAGCATTTGTTTATTCAAGGGCCTAGTCGGGTATATACTGGAAAACTGTATTTAGTTATAGTTTGAATCCTAACAGGCGAGGCTTCATTAACATATGGATGTTTGTTCTACTTGAGTGCTTTTGTATAAATCTCTTTCTGCGAGTAATATTATTTTGGATCCTGTCAGAGTGGCGAAATCCTCATAATTGCTAAGGCTGTGGTTAAACTATGTCAACTGAAAGTCAGTTGCTCCGACACTCGGTGCTGACCTGTTTTTAGCTCACCTGTCACAAAGTGACAGGGTGAGCTTTTGTGATCGCTTTTCGTCCGGCGTCCGGCCGTCCGTCGTCCGTCGTCCGTCCGTAAACTTTTACTTTAAATGACATCTCCTCATAAACCACTAAGCCAATTTCATCCAAACTTCACAGGAATGTTCCTTTGGTGGTCACCTTTAAAAATTGTTCAAAGAATTTAATTCCATGCAGAACTCTGGTTGCCATGGCAGCTGAAAGAAAAAACTTTAAATATCTTCTTTTAAAAAACCATTAGAGCTAGAGCTTAGATATTTGGCATGAAACATCTTCTAGTGAGTGTCTACCAAGTTTGTTCAAATAAAAGCTCTAGGGTCAAAATTGGCCCCGCCCCAGGGGGTCATTGATTTTCCCTATATGCATGTAGTAAAAACTTAAAAAATCTTCTTTTAAAGAACCCAAAGAGCTAGAGCTAAGATATTTAGCATGAAACATGTTCTAATGGGTGTCTACCAAGTTTGTTCAAATAAAAGCCCTGGGGTCAAAATTGGCCCCGCCCCGGGGGGTCATTGATTTTCCCTATATGCATATAGTAAAAACTTAAAAAATCTTCTTTTAAAGAACTCAAAAGAGCTATGGCTAAGATATTGAGCATCAAACATGTTCTAATAGGTGTCTACCAAGTTTGTTCAAATAAAAGCCCTGGGGTCAAAATTGCCCCGCCCCAGGGGGTCATTGATTTTCCCTATATGCATATAGTAAAAACTTAAAAAATCTTCTTTTAAAGAACTCAAAGAGCTATGGCTAAGATATTGAGCATCAAACATGTTCTAATAAGTGTCTACCAAGTTTGTTCAAATAAAAGCCCTGGGGTCAAAATTGGCCCCGCCCCGGGGGGTCATTGATTTTCCCTATATGCATATAGTAAAAACTTAAAAAAATCTTCTTTTAAAGAACTCAAAGAGCTATGGCTAAGATATTTAGCATCAAATATGTTCTAATAGGTGTCTACCAAGTTTGTTCAAATAAAAGCCCTGGGGTCAAAATTGGCACCGCCCCGGGGGTCATTGATTTTCCTTATATGTGTATAGCAAAAACTTAAAAAATCTTCTTTGAAAAAAACCAAATAGCTAGAGTTTAGATATTAAGCATGAAACATCTTCTAGTAAGTGTCTACAAAGTTTGTTCAAATAAAAGCCCTGGGGTCAAAACTGGCCCAGCCCCAGGGGTGTCATTGTTTTTTATTATATGTGTATAGTAAAAACTTAAAAAAATCTTCTTTTTAAAAGCCCAATGAGCTAGAGCTTAGATGTTTAGCATGAAACATCTTCTTATGGGTGTCTACCAAGTTTGTGCAAATAAAAGCCCCTGGGTTAAATTGGCCCTGCAACGTTGGGGGGGGGTGGGGGTTGGGGGGGCCTATATACAGGTGAGCGACCTCAGGGCCATCATGGCCCTCTTGTTACTGCTTGTTTTTGAAATGGCGCAAACTTTTATGTTGTTATGTCTTGACAAACAATTTTGATTTAATGTTGTAAAATGTTTTCATAAACATCATAACTGTAAACTTTGTATTTAATTTAGCCAATCTCCTGTAATATTATACCGCCAGCTAATTGCAGAGAATTTAGCTGAATATGAGATAAGAAAAGAGATTTATATTTGTGTGTCACACTATAAGCATATTTTGATTAGCAAAACTAGGTCACTGTATTTACTGCTGTTGCCATGGTTGTCACTTAATTTGTATAATAGACATTGCATTTTCTTTTTATGCCCCCCGCCATATAATGGCTGGGGCATATAGTGTTACCCTGTTCCGTCATTCCGTCATTCTGTCATTCCGTCATCATCAGTTTCCGTTCATTATCTTAGTAACGGTTGCACACATTCAATTCAAATTTGGCATATGGATATGTCATGAGAAAATACAGGTCAAGTTTGAATTTGGTCATGGTTCAATGATTTTTGGCAGAGTTATGCCCCTTTCACTTTGAAAATAACATGAAATTTTCAGTTTCCGTTCATTATCTCCTCTAGGGTATTACACATTCAACTCAAATTTGACATATGGATAAGTCAAAGAAATACTCGGGTCAATTTCGAATTTTGTCATGGTTAGATGATTTTTGGCAGAGTTATGCCCCTTTAACTTTGAAAAAAAAGAGGAAATTTTCAGTTCACATTCATTATCTCCCCAACAGTTGTACATATTCAACTCAAATTAAAGATATGGATATGTCATAAGAATGCATTGGTCAATTTCGAATTTGGTCATGGTTTGATGATAGCTGACAGAGTTATCCCACTTGAACTTTGAAAAAAAAATCAAGAAGTTTCTGTTCATTATCTCCGCAATGGTTGTACACATTCAACTCAAATTTGACATAAAGATACATCTTAGGAATAAGCAGTTCAAGTTTGCATTTGGTCATGGTTCAATGATTTTGAACAAAGATATCTTTCTTGAATTTTCAGTTTCAGCACAGACTCATACTTTTGTGGAAATGTATGTAGCCATTATTTTGGCTACAAATATGCAATTTGCAATTTACAAAAGGTTAACACTTAATAGTTTCAGTGCCTTGAACTTTGTATAAAAATGGTTTGTGTTAACATTGAATAGTTTTAAGGGCTTTCAACTTAAAATGAAAAAAATAATTTGTGCAAACAAATTTGGAACTAAATATTATAACATCTGAAATTTTGGTTGCATGCGGGGGCGACACATTTCTAGTTCATTATAAAAACTGCATGCCTTGAGATGAGCCAAAATTTTTCAAGAAAATCAAACTTGACTAAAATGTACTAAGATATTTTACTGTATTTTAAGTTCATTGATTGGTATGAAGGTCAATTTACTATTTGCAGGTCATTTAACTCTATGTAGGTCATTGATTGGCATGTAGGTCAATAAATTGTAAATAGGTCATTTGATTTTATCTCTATATAGGTCAATCAATTGCTTATTAGTCAGTCATGCAACAGTTACTAAATTTTATGGGGCATTAATAATGGGTTATAAGATAACAATATCAGGCCAACCTTAAAAAAATGTTTGTTTGCAGTAACGCGACCGACTCACAAAATTTGCCCCTACTCAAAATTTTTTTTCATGGTCTGGATAAAAAAATTTTTTTTTTGAATCAGAAAATTATGCCTTGTGCTTTGTTTTCATTCTTTTAAAGGTTTATAGAAGAAATAAAATGTAGGTCTTATTAAATTAGAATTCAGTTATCAATTTATTAATTGTTACCAGACTTTCAAAGCATAATATTGTCCAGCATTTTGAAATTCCATGTTTATTTGGGAGTACAGTTCAATAAAAAAAAATAAAAATCGACCTACCTACCCACCTTGAAATTTCTGGGTCGGGTTACTGCAAACAAACATTTTTTTAAGGATGGCCTCATCTGTCATTGCAAAATTCAAAAGATCACTTTATGCTGCACAACGTTCTGCGTGAAAACTGAGTCTCAAAAGCAATTAAATAATCTCTGTCTGTAAACTGCTCGGTAAATTTAACATGTGGCACTATAGCGCATTTTCGTAATACTGGTAGAACTAATGTTGGCATCTTTTATAAGTTAATCAATAAGCAAATTTTTCTCGAAGATGAACTGGATAGAAGGAACGGGTGATATTGATTTGCTATTCTTTTTTATTTATTAAAGTAGACAATAGCATGTATAGATTAAAGTATAGATTAAAAATAACTCCAGGAGGCCATGGTAGTAATTGTACATAAAATTTTCATCGAGGGCAGAAAAAAGTTAAGCGTGGGAAGGGCTTTTATGTACGAGTTATGGGTTCATACTTATAAGCGGTAAATAACTTTGCGTGACTGTGATTGATAATAAAAATCTCTAGAAAGTGGGGCTTCCGTGGCGGGATTGTGGCGGAATTCGATGTAAGGGTTTTGATGTTAACATAAAATCAAGGCTTCCTAGCTTAGTACAGGATTTTATGCCATCTTTTATGTGTTCTTATAAGATGACTTTTAGATGTGAATTATGGAGCACATTTTATGTAAATCGTGTAATCTGTTTGGACCACTACATCAGATCTTTTTAAATCAAATTTATTTAAAATGAAATATTTGCTCTGCCTTTAGCGTTTATTCCGGTGGTGAGGGTAATATAACAAAATACAATAGGACTAGGAAGATTTCTGTTTTTTAGCTCACCTGAGCAATGCTCAGGGTGAGCTATTGTGATCGCCCTGTGTCCGTCGTCCGTCGTCGTGCGTCCTGCGTCGTGCGTCGTGCGTCGTCAACTTTTCACATAAACAACATCTCCTCTGAAACCAATGACTGCACATCAACCAAACTTTACAGAAATGATCCTTGGGTGGTCCCCTTTCAAAGTTGTTCAAATGGTTCCGGTCTGTGCATATTGTAGGTCACAGGCCAGAAAAGGATTTCAAAAAACACAAAATTAAAAAATCTTCTTGTCTGAAAGTACATGGGCCAGAGCTTTGATTTTTGGTATATGGTATCATCTATGGGTCCTCTACCAAAGTTGTTCAAATGTTTGTCCCTAGTGTCAAAATTGGCCCCGCCCCGGGGGGT